GAGGAAGAACTTCTTCCCTCTGAGGGTGACGGAGCACTGGCCCAGGCTGCCCAGGGAGGCTGTGGAGTCTCCTTCTCTGGAGATATTCCAGCCCCGCCTGGCCGCGGTGCTGTGCCCCCTGCTCTGGGTGACCCTGCTTGGGCAGGGGGCTGGGCTGGGGGACCCCCGAGGGCCCTGCCAACCCCACCATGCTGGGATTCTGCGATCTTCATTTTAAATTAGCTACGAGCAGCATTTTTTTATCAAATCCTATGTTCTTGCCTAAGGAGAGCAGCAGACTCTTTCTGAGAGGCTGAGGAAAAAGATCTCTCCCCTTTGGAATGATCTTCAGAACTAAGGAACTACATCACAAAACAGGGGAGCCTGGATCTTCCCTCCCCACAGGTGTCCAACCTTCTGGCTACAGAAGAGCATCATCCTCTCCTTAAAAGCATCTTCACTTGTTTCAAGCTTTATTAGCAGCCAGACACTTTAAATAGCTCGTAGTAACGGGAGTACAATTCCATCTTAATTGTCAGGATATACATATACACACAGTGATTTCAATCTAGTTGATGAAATAAAAATTCAATGTTAAGTGCAAAAGCAGCAACATTAACGTCTCAAAATTTAAGAACCTGAAAATCCAGTTACCACGTTTTTGAAGTGTCCCAAAACAAAAAGTAATTTCAGCCACTCTGACCTTTTCACTTCTCGTATCAAAATACATTTTTCCCCAAGTTTCCTGCAAAATGGGAACTCGTCTTCCTCCCACCTACACCTCTCACGTCTAAGGCTCATCATTTTTCCAGCCTCCTGGGCAGCTTTGCTTCCAGCGCTCACCAAGCCGCTCTGCATCGTTCAGGCGAGGCAGCAGCTGGAATTTTGCTCGGCTGGGTCTGTCTCCTTGCCCACTGCCCCAGCAGGTCAGACCAACTATTTTGTGTTGAGGATGAGTGGGGAAGAGTCAGACACTTGGACTGCTCGCTAGCAGAACGTTCTTGGTACTGAGAGATGAAAAACCTACCTCTCAACTCCCCCCCCCCACGCCCCCAGGGACTTTGCACCATAGAAAAATAAAAATACTGACCTTGTTTTTATTCTTCAGCACAACGTAATGATCTACTTTTCCAAACCGAAGGCCCACACAAACCACTTCAAGTTCTCGGTACCCGTCATCGGGCAGGTTCCCCAGATGCACAAACTGATGATGGACGGTTTCAGTATTCACCTAAAGAAAAGCGATGACAAAACCTCCTTGAACATCGTAACATACTTTATTAGCAACTACTGAACTAGGCTAGCAGAGCCCCACAGAAAGCTTCTGCATCACTCGGGTGTCATCAGAAAAGAGCACTCACACACGTCCAACCTTCACAGTTTCACATCCACGTCAGATTTTCCAGTTCTCTGCGCAGCGTATCAGAAGAACCAGTTACACTTCCCAGTAAAGAACAGCAAAACTTACAGGGATCAGTTGAGCGCCTTGTCTTAACATGTAATTTTATTTTAACTAACTAGGGAAAATCTCTTTAAAGAACACTGCAAAATATAGCTGAAGTTTAAATAAAATTAGCTGTCTTGAAAATCAGACACCATCTAGTCAGGTTATAAATCGGTCGAGGCACAGACACCTCTCCCACAGACTCCAGCCCCAGTTTTCAAGTTGAAGTTTGGTTTACTCGATCAGTTTGCAGAACACAAAGATCCTCGGTCAAGCATCGTTTCTTGGATTTCTCCGTGTTCCACCAGAGTAATCTCCCCCACGACGGGGAGAGGCTGCCAGAGAGAGCAGTCGGTGCCTTCTGACCAGGAAGGATTCGGGCGCGGAAGGCGCGAGCGGGCTGACGACGGCCGACGGAGAGCCACCAGCAGAACCCAACGGAGCCCTGGCACCTACTACCATGGGCAGGCCCGCAGGGAAGGGCCCTGGGACACAAAGTCCAAAGGTACCAGCAGCCTTCTGAACTCTTCAACAAGGCTGAAAGACTTGAAAGCTGGGCGTCTTGTAGAAACACAACTCTCACTCCCAACCAGCCAGAGGTTTTTGCCCCCCTCTCCGGGCCCGGGATGTTTTTCTTCCATTATTCCAGGAGCAGAAAAGGAATCTCCCACCCCAGGCAGACCAGCGGCGTAAGCAGGCGACGGCAGCAGGGTGCTGGCAGCAAGTGCTCTGTGTTTCACAGAATCACAGAATCACAGAATGGTAGGGGTTGGAAGGGACCTCTGTGGGTCATCTAGTCCAACCCCCCTGCCCAAGCAGGGTCACCCAGAGCAGGGGGCACAGGACCTTGTCCAGGCGGGGCTGGAATATCTCCAGAGAAGGAGACTCCACAGCCTCCCTGGGCAGCCTGGGCCAGGGCTCCGGCACCCTCAGAGGGAAGAAGTTCTTCCTCGGGTTCAGCTGGAGCTTCCTCTGCTTCAGTTTGTGCCC